AGGCGGCGGGGCGCGCCGGGGCGAGGCGGGCTGGGGACGGCTCGCACGTGTCTGCAGAGCGCGCGCACTCACGGACGCAGCGGGGAGCCGAGGGTGGCCGCTGCCCGGACTTTGGTTCGGGGCTTATCGCGCACACCGGCGATGTTGCGTTCCTACTGGCTTCTTGCAGCGCTTCGTGCTCCTTCCTCGGCTCCCTCTTAGAAATCATGGCAATGCATTTCAGAGGACTTGGGGGGAAATTCACCCTGTTGGCACTGTTAGGTCGGTCCCCGGTGTTCTACCGGTGGGGAGGGGACGAAGTCCCCAGGGATGCTGTGGAGGAGGGGTGCCCACCCTCGGGCTTGGCAGATGGGTGAGCTGCACTTCCTGGCGCTGGCTCCCGCATTCCTTCTGCTGCCGAGCCCGCCAGACGGGGCCCGCTGATCCTCCACTAACAGGAGTTCACCCAAGTGAGAAATCCGAGTTAAGTTTTGTGCTGCTGCCCGGTGGAAGAACAGAGTCTGCTTCCTCCTTGGGCCTGAGCGAGGTGACACGGCCACCTCCGGGGCTGGGGGGGTCCAGGGAAGGCTGTTTCTGGTGTCACCGTGCTCTGGGGGAAGTAGGGAAAAACATTCTTAAGGGATTGGCAGCAACTATGGGCAAAGCATTTTTGTGGTCACCAGAGGACTTGCATTCTGGAAATACAGATAACCCAGGACCTAAGTAATGAAAGCCATTTACTGAGCATTCACTTTGTGTCAGGTACTGTGCTTAGCAATTTATATGGATAATATAATTTAATCCTTACCACTTTAGGAGATGGCACTGTTGTTATACCCACTTTGCAGATGGAGGAACAAAGAAGGCTAAGCGATTTGCCACGAGATGACCGGTAAGGGGTAGTGCCTGCAAGCCCTAATCTAAGCTGCACCTGCCACTGGCACCCCATGAAGCAGGCCGTTTGATTTTTTTTTTTTTCATATTAACAAAGCGAATTTCCCTTTAAAGAGTGTGAAAGCTATGCCCTGAAAAGCCATACCATTTTAAAAACTAGATCGGTAAAAGTGTATGCATTTTCGTTATATAAGTAAGTATAGTTTTAAATAGATGCATGTGTTTAAAGGGGAAAGTTTACCAAAATCACCTTGCATCATCCAGTTGTGTATGTCCTGATGAATTTGCTGTAAGTTCTCAGCTGGGAGGCAGTGTAGTGTAATGGCTAAAGGCACAGATTCTGGTCTCAAATGCTGGCAAGCTACTTAACTTCTCTGTCCAGTTTTCTTATTTGTAAAATGGAGGTAGCAAAAGTACCTACCTTGTAGGGCTATTGTGGGGATTGATTGGGTAACTACACAGGAGTGGGCAGACAGCCTGGCTCACCTCAGTGCTCTGCATGGGTTATTTGTTGTCATTCACTCTCCATTCCTGGATGATGGGAACATGTGGTGATTGCACCGGGAGATGCCAACTGCCCTGAGGCTGGGGCATATGATATGGCAGATGTCAGTTTAGCAAGATGCACTAAGAAATAACAATGATTTTTTCTCCTAATTTTGTATTATTTTTAGAATCCTGGTAGGTTTTGCAGTCAGGAGTGTCTAGTAGCCTTCTAAATATGAGATTTTCTTTTTCTATCTCTGAATGTACTGTTTTTTTGTACCTCCCTGGGGATTTTTTGCTTTCTTCCTTCTATGATAGCTGTTTCCGGGCATCTTATATTCAGATGGATGCAGTTCCTTAACAGCAGGAATTATGTCTTTTTCATTTTTGTATTTCTCACAACTCTTAGCACAAAAATGAATGAAAGAAAGGATGAATGAGTGAGTGACTGAAGAATGATAAAGGTTCTTGAGGGTGCCTTTCCATTCTGCCATCCTCCCTGAACATTTCCCTTTACTGATCTTTATTCCAAGTGTCTTGGGTTGGAGCTTCTTTTTCGGTTGGTTGGGTTCCTTTGCTCATTAAGGTTTTCAGCCCTACTTCTGGCAGCCATCCAAGTGCTTGGATTCTGGATTGCAGTTTCTTCTTGTTTGATCCAGCAATCAGAAAAGTGCAGTTTACCAGATATTCATTACTCCTTATACTCCACGTTTTAAACTCCGTTATTAAAAGTCATCTCCCAAGTTTGAGTTGAGCTCTATGAATCTCCAACCGTGGCCAGGAAACCATGGGTGCTGGAGAGAGGTTGGTGAATGGATGTGATGTGTTGCCACTGTATGGATAGGAGACAGGGATAGTTTGTAAACACACAGCTCTTTTCTTTTCCTTTTACCAAAAAGGGTAAGAGTAGCACTTTTGGCAACTGGATACTAAAAATGGGAAAATTTGGGGGCCTAGAGCCGGTTCTGTTTTCATTATGAGAAGGATATATTCTAGGTGACTCAAACTCCTGATTTCCCTACTTCCCTTAGGGCACAAACAACTTTTCTCTATGATTGAGTATATCTGATCACTCATTCAATAGAAGTATATTGAGCACTTACTGTGTGCCAGGCTTTCATGATAATGAACACCAGATGTTCCCAAGTGGACTCTGCATGTAATTTTGGCTTTTGTCATTTATTGCTAACAAATCAAATGACGAATACTATAACAGAAGGCCATGGATTTCAAGAAGTACCTAAGGATACTTATTATTAAATTGTATGCCCTCAGATAGTTTACATTCTGACTCATAGACCCTAATTTATTCTTGTATTTAAAAAAAATGCATATTCCTTATAATAACCATCAACTTTATATCTCTAGCAAAAACCTTTAATTACTATTTCATATATTTATCTTTTTCCTATTGAATAGATGGTAAGCTTTTTGGGGGCACAGATTTTATCATATTCCTTTTGTAGCACACTGCTGGACATGGTTCATTCATTCATTCTCTTATTCATGAAACCTTGAACATCTGTAATGTTCTAGACTAGTCTCTTTGGCTATAACAATGAATAGGATTTAGTTCCTGCTGTCAAGAAAGCTCATAATCAAATTATGGTAAGAAGTTATGATAAGTGCTATAGAAGTAAGTACAAAGTTCAGTGATGACACAAAGGAGGGCAGAGACCAAATCTACCAGGGTGGGGTAGGCCTGGGGAGCTTGCGAGAGAAGGTGATGGGGTCTTGAGGCATGAATAAGAGTCTTCCAGGTGCACTAGGTGAGGAAGAGTAGTACAGACTTGGAAGTGCCCGAGAGTGTTTTACTTAAGTAGCTTGGTGGGAAGGGGACATGGTCTGGGGAGGGATGAACAACAGTGGTCCGTCAATCTACATGTGTAGTCTTTTTTGTTGTCTAGCAAAGGGCCTGTCCTGGCCCTTTGGTTTTTCCTTTCATTTTGGTTTCCTCCTTTCAAATGGTAAGGCCCAGACATTTTGGAGGAGTCATTTAGTTGCGTTTAACCATACAGACTTCATTTATTCATTCAACCAACATCTATTGAGTACTCACTGTGTGCATAGCACAAATCCTAAGCTGATATGTAGCCCTGCTGAAGGGTATTGTTCTGTAGTGTTATTTAAGCAAAGATGTAAGGTGAGGGATTTTTTGTGGCCTAGGGGAACTGGGGAACTCTAGATCCTACCAGTCTCCATAAATTCTCATCTCTTCCCCCTCCTTATTTTAAGATTATTTAATTAATATCTGCCTCTTCGACTAGACTCCAGGAGTCAGGAGTCATGTCTACTTTTGGTCACTGTTGTATACTCTGTTAGGGCACCTACCTTGCAATAGATATATAGTAAATATTGGATGCATGACTGAATGAATTCCTAATTCCAAATAGAAATTGTATAAAAGATCATGCTTTTTTTTTTTTTTTCCTTTTTTTGTCTTTTTCCGTGTCCGGCAACGGATCGCAACCCTCAGTGTCGCCCCCGTACCGGGCCGGGACCGGCAACGGGATCGCAACCCTCGGCACTGCTCCCGTGCCTCGCTCAGCCAGTGAGCGGGAACC